GCTCCCGCGCCTCGCTCAGCCAGTGAGCGGGAACCGGTCTGTATGTGGGATCCGAACCCTCGGGTGGGAGCGTTGCCACGCTTCCCAAGCGGCGCACTATCCAGTGCGCCACCGGGCCGGCCCTGGAAATGCAAATATTTTGAATAGTGTCTTAAATACAACATAAGGTGAATCTACTGGAAAGATATTTTGTGATAACTTTTAAAAACAAACATCACTGATGAAAACTATTGGGAATTCTTGTTCTTATGTTGGAAATTGTCTTTAATAGCAAAAAAAAAGTTTTTATGACAACCTTCTCATTACTAGAGAAAAAAAATCATATAGGAGCCAAAGGCATTTTCTCTGTTTCTCTCAAAGGTTGCAGTGGTTGTGAGATTTTTTAGTTAATCTCTCTTCTGAATCTTTGGCTCTTTATGTACCAGCATTAGAGGTTTAGCATCTATTTCCCTGTCTTCAACTAGAACTGCTCCTTCATCATACTGGATTTATACAGAATTCTATTAAAAAAGCCATCCATTGTCTTCATTCCTGTGTTTTAATAGCTTCATTTTACTTCGAATTTGAAATCTGTCAGTTTTTATTTATGTTTAGACTAGCTTACCAAAGCCTGTGGTAGTACTGCAGAGCCACATGTACTACAGTGGGAAAGCCATCCATTGTCTTCATTCCTGTGTTTTAATAGCTTCATTTTACTTCGAATTTGAAATGTCAGTTTTTATTTATGTTTAGACTAGCTTACCAAAGCCTGTGGTAGTACTGCAGAGCCACATGTACTACAGTGGTTTTTTTTTTTAATGGGGAAACACATTCACTGTTGTTCTAACCTAAATGTTCAGGGCCCTGTGACAGCCTTGGCAGGAGCACTGGAGAATCTTCCACTGGCCACATACCAGGTCCAGTTGGGGACTCCCTGAGTACTGGTCACTGGTAGTTACTCCTGTGCCCTGTGTAGGGTATGGAGGTAGGGAGGAAGAGGCCGTTCTGGAACTGTCTTTTCTGAGTCCATGTTAACGGCTCGAAGATAGCAGTGGATGGGAGAAAGGAGGAGTGTCATTTTTGTTTTTTTCTTGTCCCCTTTTCCTTTTGTCAGTTTGGCCATCTCAGACTCAGTCCTGGCATGAAGTTCCAGTCAGGGACTGGTATTGGGAGTGGCTTTGTTGGGGTACTGGGTGGCAAGACCCAGAGAACTGTCTGCTCCTGGGTCTCTGAAGAGGAAGGGAAGGGAAAGAGACAGGAAAATTCTAGCCAGTGGCTTCTGAGAGCCACAGGGCAATCCTGAGTCATAGGTCTGGGTTGTTCTTTCAGGTTAGCCTGGTACTACCTGTAGAGATGTCAGGGAACATGGATGTTTTCTGTGAAGTTCTTAAGGTGGTTAATGGATTAATGTGTTATGTAGCAAAAATGTACATTAAGAAGAGAGGTTTATTTGACATGCTGGCTTATTGTTATATATCCTAAGTTCCTACCTGACCTAGTGCATCATTGTTGCAAATTTACATGTAAATTAAGTTGACTTTTTGAGCTTTTGTTCTTATGGTACAAACTATAACATTTTATTAGAGAATTGGAAGCAGATGAAAAATAAGGTTTTTTTGCTGTTTATAGTTGGAGACTGTTGAAAAGGTATATGAAATCTTCACCTCAGATGATGTTGATCTTGCTTTGAGAAAGTCAGCTGCAGAACAATTAGCTGTGATTATGCAAGGTAATGTCTTTTAAGGAAAATGATTGCTGTACTGCTGATAATAAAATTTTTGATTGCTGTGTGTAGTAGTGTCGAAGGTTGGCAAACTATAGTTTATGGACCAGATCTGGCCTGTGGCCTTCAAGTTAAGAATGGTTTTTACATCTTTAGAATTGTTTAGAAAACAAAATCAGAACCAAAGAATATGTGACAGAGACCGTATGTGTATTTACTACCTGAATCTTTACAGAAAATGTGTGCTTACTCCTGGTGCCGTAAAATGTCATTTGATAGTATTACCTTCCTTCTAAAATATTAATATAATTCTGACAGTAAAGTGCATGTTGCTTTCTCAATTTACCTAGTACACTATGTTTTCAATTTGTACCATTTTGCTTAAAGAAAGTTCTTCGGTGGGTTGGTAAAATAGAAATAACGTACTGTAACTGTACATTTTCTTTAAGGGTTTATTTTAAAAACAACTGAAATACACCGTTAGCTTTGTAGTGTTGTTATTCCATAGGCTTCCATTCTCTGGGTTAGTTTTAATTTTTCCCTATATGTGATATATGTACTTTAATATTTGTGAGAAATACCTTTGTATTTACATAAAAGGATTTTTATGGTAACCATTTCTTGTTCCGACATTAGTGGAAACTGGGATGAGAGAGTAATTTGAAAAAGCATTTTTAACATATTCATAGATTTAATAACAATAATACAGACTACAGAAAATAAGGTTCTAACAAATGTGAAGAGCCTTGGTTAAAAAAAGATTGAGAAAAATTCTATTAGAGAATATTCCTTCGATATTGTAAATATTTTAAAAGTATGACTTATAATTTCGGTATGCACTATACTGGGGGGTAATGGAAACTTTTTAAAGTAGCAGCCAAAGATAGTTATAGTTATAGCTACTAGTACAATATCAGTATGTGTGTATGTTTTTCTCAATGAGAATATGGGAGAAAATTTGTCTGCAAGTTATTAAATACTTGGAACTAATCTGTAAGGAACTAGAGTTTTTGGCTCTAATAACATCTCCGTGTGTGTATGTATATATTGTATATATAATATATGTACTGTATGTGTATACATATATACACATGTATATTATATATACATATACACATATGTAAAATTTTTATAACCTTTTTAATACAAATGTAATATGTGAATTTATGCTTATTTAAAGGTTCATATTCTTCAGAAATATATAGAATACATTTAAATCCATTTCCTTTTATATTTGCTATTAATAGTTTGAGGTTAGAGATCTTTTATTAATAGAAAAACGTTCACGTTACAAGCCATATTTACATGTTAGCTTGTGGAGAATTCTCAATATTTTGAGGTGATGAATTTGAAAAGCGAAAAAATAACAGTGAAACAATATTAAGATAATTGCCATGCACAAATAAAAGAATTCATTTGTACACTTAAATTCTACTTTTCAGAATCTGAGCTAGTTCACATAATTTTTTTTTTTATAGTTTTGTTTTTCACATTACAGAAGTAAGATATGCTAGTTAAACATTTTCAGGTTGTACAGATGTATGTAAGTAAAAAGTTAAAAGTTTTATCCTCTAATTTCAATCCTAGGTGTACCTATTTTTAATAGAAGGTTGTATGGCTATCTGTTCTGTATATTTCAAAATGTGTTTTTAGAAGTACAAAAAATGTTCTTTAACTTTTAGTCTTTTTTTTTTTTTGTCTGCAGATATTAAAATGCATGCTGTGGTGAAAAAGTTGTCTTTAATTGATAAGATAATTGAGTATTTAAATGAATGTGTGGGTCAAGATGGCAAGGTGAGACTAATGGGTACCTAGACTTATTTTTATTGATTGCTGTTTTTATTAATCAAATCTGAAATTAAAGTCAGCTGAACTTGGATGAGTACTTGGATTTTAAATCCTAAGTAATACTCACTATCTCATTCTTTTTCTTATTTCTAAAAGTGGGGTCTTTATAAAGGAAAAGGAATCTTAAAATTTCCGTAAGGTAATTTTTCCCTATGCAGAATTATATACAAAGCTTATCTTCAGTGGATAGTATAATCCTAATATTTACTTGCATTTTAGTTTAACATGATTTTTTTTTTTTCCTTTTTGTGACCGGCTGCACCGCGCTCAGCCAGCGAGCGCATCGCACCGGCCATCCCTATATAGGATCCGAACCCGCGGCGGGAGCGCTACTGCGCTCCCAGCGCTGCACTCTCCCGAGTGCGCCACGGGCTTGGCCCAGTTTAACATGATTTTGATGAAAAAGTATAAAATTTAGAATAAGATAAATTTTGTATATTTTATCTCACCTTAGAATTGGTAAAAATAAAATAACTGTGTGTTTTCCCTTCTGACCAGGACATAGAATGTTTGATACAGCCGTGCCTAACACTCTTGAGGAAGGTTTTATGTGCCGATCCAGTTGTGCGTGTTTCCCTCTCGCAACAGTCTTCTTTCTTGACCCTGTTATTCAGAGGTGAATAAAATAAATTCTACTAATAGTGAGGTCAATCTTCAAGTGTTTATTCTTTAACTTTAGGTAACATTTGTTTTCTATTTTACTAATAGGACAACAAAGTCTATGAGTGAATATGCTAGTAAAAAAATCTCATCACAGTGGAAAATATTTAATACTTTTGTGGAGATTTCCTTATCCTGTTACTGAGTGGACCTTAGAGCTGAGAAAAGCTGAAGTTTCTGATTGTTCTGTGGTACCTCGATGTAGATATTATTTGGTGCTCAGACAGTAAACTATTTTCTATAAAGAGATAAAGCTGCAGCTGTTGTCATCATTGCCTTTTTCCTAATATCTGTTTCCTCTTTCTTGTTTTGCTTGTGCTTTTGGATCCTGGAACCTTTGGTGTGATATTTGATTATGTCATTAGACTGGCATTAAGACTGTAAACCCAATCTGTGAGGGGTGGAAGCTAGACCAGCATTAATGACTTTGAGCATAAATTTATTATTACACTTTATGTAAAGTGTGGTATTTAACCCATTTTAGTTTAAATCTAATTTAGTAATGTGTTTAGATGGAAAGTTTTTTTGTGTAGTTTTGTCCTCTTTTCGTTCTCTTTTGGCTGTTCTCAATAGAGACTTGGTAACATTTTGTACTGTTTTCTTTCTTAGAGGTTTGGGCCACTGCTTTTAAATATTCTACAAGGCATTTGGATTAAATATCTCAGTATGCTTAACTTTGTTATATCAGGCATGAAGGAAATAAGAGATTTATGTTCAAAATATATTATTAGAATATAGTCATTTTATTTTAGCACTTATTTCCCCTCCTAATGGCTTCTGCTTGCCAAGTGAATAGGACACAGTTTAAGTAGCATCGGTAAAGATCTAAACCAGGTAGAGTTCTAAACAGACTCAGTGTGTTTAGGCTCATAAAGTTTTGAGTAGAATGTAAAATTTTTGTAAGTGTTTATAGACTGAAAAGACCAGCAGTTATGGATTTCTAGTTTTCTTTAATCCTGTTAATAATTGTCTTCCTGTTAACCTCTTCTAATTGAATTTAGTCCCCAGTTTACCTTTCTATTTATAATTCTCATTTAAATTATTCAGGCATTGAATTTATTTTGAGCAGCTATTGGATTCAAAGGCACTTTCCAAGGCAACATAATTGCTACTCTTTTGGCATTAAACAAATTTTCTATCTTATTGTGATTTGTGGAAATTACTTTAGTGTGTCTGAAAATGAATTACAGTATCTCTCGATGGATTTAGTTTCAGGGCAAAATTATTATTATTATTTATTATTTTGGTGGCTGGTTGGTATGGGGTTCTGAACCCTTAACCTTGGTGTTTTATAACATCACATTCTAACCAACTGAGCAACTGGCCAGCCCTTCAAAATTAATTTTTTGACCAGCTGCTCAACCGGGAAAATCCATTCTCAGCAAACATTTATTGAGGACATATTCCGTACAAGGTATAGTACTAGGCCCTTGGCTTATATTGATGAGCATGGTAAATGACCCTCATGGAGTTTATAATAGAGTTGGAGACATTGACAAGTAAATATATAATACAGCTTAGTAATACCTATAATGGTGCCATTCCTGGCACCAGAGGACGTGCTGACTAGATTGGGTGATGGGAAACCATCAGAGAATGCTTCCAGGGAATGTGGCATCTAAGCTGGAATTTCAGAAAAGAATAGAAAGTCAAGTAGGCAGATAGGATTGACTTCCAGATAGAGGGAGCCACGATTAAGTGAGAGAGAATGATGTTTGAGATGGTGGTTGGTGGCTGGATTTGGGGAGGCTGGGGTAAAAGGGAAATAGTGGGATGAGGTGGGGAGGACAGTTCTTGCAGAGCCTGGTAGGTCTTATAAAACAGCAGCTAGGAGTCATTTAAACAGGGGAGTGTGTGCTTTATAAAGATTATTCTGTCTGTAGCATGGAGCGTAGATTGAAGAAGTACAATAATCAATATCTCAGACATACTGCAAACTTTGTCATGACAGAATTCTATACCATATTTCAGGATTAGAAATAAACTTAGAAATCATTTATTTTACTATTTTAGAGTGAGGAAATCGAGGTCTAGAGAGATTTAGCAACTTGGCTGAAATCTTAACCAGTTAGTGGTGAAGGCAGGACAGGAACCCAGACTTCCTTGCCTTTGTTTTTGTTTTAAGTAATTACAAACTTACACATTTCAGTGTAGAAATTCAGCAAACGGAACTATACAATGTAAAATTCTAAAGGTTTTTATTTTCTTCTCTTTCTCAGTTTTTCCAAAAAAGAGTATTCTAGTTATCCTTTGGAATATATTATTCAGAATGATCTTTTCTATATATATGCTGTACATGGTGTTTTGGAGTTTCAGTTTGCCATATTGCTGTATATTTGTTTCAGGTTTTTTTTACTGTGACAATAATCAAGTTATATACTCATATTTGTGCATACAATGTAATTGGAATTGCTGGGTCAAAAATATGATTAAATTCCTCTCCAAATCATTCCTATCAACAGTGGTTCAAAAATGCTTATTTTCCTCACAACCTTGCCAGCGCTGAATGTATCTCATTTTTAAATTTTTTTCTTATAGGTGAAAATAGTATCTCATTATTGTTTTATTTTTCTGTTTATTTTTAGTGTAGTTGATTATCTTTTCATGTGTTTATTATATATTTAAATTTCTTTTTCTTATTTCATATGAATTGTCTATTTTTCTGTTATATTTAATTTTTTTTAATGACTCGTAGGGTTTCTTTTTATAACACAGACAAAACTATTATGCTTGATTTTATGTTATTAATGTTTTTTTCCAACCTTTCTAATAAGTAATTTTTATTATTATAGCTTTAACCTTAAATAAGCTTAAATGTTTTATCGAAATATATAAAGCTTTTCTGTTATGGCAACTGGGATTTTCATCATGCTGTAAAAGGAGGTCATTCTCCAATTCCAGATTGGAAATATATACTCCTGTTCTTTCTCCTAATATGTTTATAGTGGTGTTTTAAAAAATTAGATCTTTACACCAGAGGTGGGAAAGGGGGAGGAGAGGGGTAGGGAGAAATTGGTAAAGGGCTACAAAAAATGTTTACGGTGTGTAATGATAAAAAAAAAATTAGATCTTTATCTAGAATTGATTTTGATATATAGTGTAAGGTAGAGATCTAAAGTTTTTTTCTCCCATATTATAGGCAATTGTATACAGTTTTTTATGGATTTGGAAATATTGTGGCTCATTCTATCTCCACTAATATGAAATGTGTACCATAAATTAAAATTTTACATGTTTCTTTACTTTTTAGTTTATTGCTATTTTAATCATGCTAATTATATAATGCTTTTTTTTTCTTGCAGTTAGGAAAAATATATTCTTTCAGAACTAATTTCTTGTTGATGCTTTCCTAAATTCACTGTCTGTAGTATGTTGTTATTCCTGTGTGATTGGTACAGCCACTATACTTATTTGTTTAGAATTTCATAGTTTGAAATACTGAGAAAATGTAGCATTGGAAACATTACAGAAATGGAAACTGAAGCTTATTAGTGTTAAAGGATTTGCCCAGGCCACTTAACTCAGTAGTGATAGAGCTAGCATTGTGTCTATTGTTCAGAGCACTTTTCTTTTCCATTATCTTCTCATAATAAACAAGAAACAAAAACCAAACAAGACAGCATAAACATACATTTTAAAGTCAAATCTAAATTCTATGATTACATGTTTGTAGCAAAGGGCAAAAATTCTAAAATAAGGAGGAAACTTTAGCTAGAAGTAAGTGACTTGGCAAAATCTTCTTAGAAGCTGTAACAGTTTGCTTCTCTGATTTCTTAAAATGAGATATTGTCTAGGGAGTAGATCTGCAGGTGTGGTTCCTGGACCAGTAGTGTCTGCATCCTTCTGGGAGCTTATTAGAAATGCAAATTTATAGACTCCACCCAAACCTACTGAATCAAAAACTGTTTAACAAGCCCTCCAGGTGATTCTCATACATTTGAAATTTTGAGAGCCACTGTTTTCATGATGTCGGTTTATCTGGGTTAACATTGCATTTCTCTTCCTTTCAAGTGATGATATTTTAAATTTGAAATTCATAATTTCTACAAGTAAAAACATTATATAAAGTTACTCTTCTTTTTATTCTTCAGTTTCCTTGATATTTCACGAAGATTGTACTGTTGTGACTGAAGTTGGAGCATTATTTTGTCTTCTATTATTTGATGAAGTATCAAGAATGGATATGTGGTGAGATATGAGTTTATAATTATATATTATTATTGTTGATAGTTATCTAATGTTTCTGATGCAGTCTTATAGCAATGCAAGGAAACTCTCAACTTGTGAGACTTATGCTTTCCATGTACACGTTTTGTGATTTTTGATTTAAGTGGTATTAAAAAGCGCATTGGCCCAAAAAGTTATCCTGAAGTCTTATTTTTGAACATTATTATGTATAAAATTTACAAATCACTGCAGTGATTTTTGTCTTTAATACATTTTTAGTACATATCTTCAAATTTGTGATTTTTATTTAATATTTTATTTTTTAAAAAGTCTGGGAAGATGTTTAGGATGATAATATCTGATTAACACTGATTTGAGTAATATCAGTGGGAGGGGACACACAGAGTCCACCTGCCAGTACTACCACTGCATTCTGTGCATCATTTATTATCTGGAATTTTTGTAGAAAAGTATAGTTTACTCTTAATAAGCAAATCCAGCAACCACGTTTTAACTGTACTAAATGACAGACCCAGTTGCAACTCATGATTTTATTTTCAGTTGAAAAGTGAAGCAAGTTGTGTCTGTTAGAACTATTGTGTACTCAATTGTTTCTTTTTGTTTTCCTGTAATGAAATAGGTCTGTTAATCCTTCCAGTAAACCTTCTTTGCCATCAGTCTTCAGTTTACCTGTTTCAGTTTTTAGAAGGTAAAGGATTTATTTCTTTGATTTTCTTGAAGTGTCAAATATTGTTACAGAAAGGGAAATCAAAATCTGTAATTTGTCACAATTTTCATTTAGCATTTAAGTCACATAACTGGGATTCAAATTACATGTATGTTAGATCATTTCACTGTGTTAAAAGAATAAATTTAACAAAATAAATTTATTTGGGCAAAGAATGATTCATGGATTGGGTAGCCTTCAATGAAATCAGAAGACATTTGGAGAGCTCTGCTGCAGTAGCATGGGCAGATATTTTATAGGCAAAGAAAATATATTTTATTGGTTAGAGTGGAAAGATCCTAGAGGTTAGCTGGCAGTTTCTGGTTGGTGAATTCTTTGGTTTCGTCTTACTGTTTATGTTGGGCTTTGGTTTGCTTATGTAGGAACTTAAAGTGCTAGAGCCACACCAGCCTAATGGCCTCCCAATTAAAAACTTTTTAAACAAACTATTCTATGTGATATTCTTTTCTGTGTCTTCATTTGTTTCTTCCTTTGCTTCAGTCTGGTTATTTTCCAAAAACCTGTTTTCTAATAGTTTGCTGTATCTAATAGCATTAAATTCATCTATCGAGTTTTTAATTATAGTTTATTTCTAAAATTTTTATTAGATTATTTTTATGGATTTCTGTTCTGTGATGAAATTCTCCATCATGACATGATTTTCTTGAATACATTAATCATAATCATTTTCAAAGTTCTTATATGGTAACCCTAATATCACTGGTCTGTTTCTAGTGACTTTTTTTTTTTTTTAGTTAGTCACTTTGTTCTGTCCTTGGCAAGTGTAAATTTAGGGCTAAGGATCACAGACCCTTCAAGACTGTTGCACAGACTGGGTCACAAACCCTCCACATGCAGGTCTATGAACTAGGTAATAGGAAAGAGATCCTGGGAGCCGTGGGTAAAAGTTAATAGGCCTCATTCAGAGCTAGGAGCAGCCGTCCTAGTGGCTTCTTTGAGAGTTCTGAGAAGCACCATGGATCAGAGCTGTTAGTCCTTTATACTCAAGTTCATAACCCAGGATACCTGGGTGCCCATATGCAATTACATTAAGTAGTAAAAAGGAACACCTGAGGATATTTACAGCAAGTGCTTGGCAAGATTCTGAACATCTGAGGGACCCTGACTTTTTTCCTATATTTTCCCAGCAGCAATCCTGGTAATTTTTGACCAAATAACTGTATATGGTAAATAAAAATTTGTACAAACTATGGATAAGGTTCTCTTCTTTCACAGATCATTTAATTTTCTCTTGGAAGCAGTTATATTATTGTAAAGTAAGGCAAATCATAACTAAAGCCAAAATGTTCCATTATTTTAGTTATACTAAATTTCCATTTATGTTGTCAGAGCTAGGGCTCAAACCCTTCAAACCCATTGTACGGATTGGGTCACCAGACCCCTCACACACAGGTCCATGCTAGGTAATTGGGAAAGATTCCAGGAGCTGTTTGGCAGATAACATGAGCTCAGTTTTCAGCTTCCTCAGCGCCAGCAGCTTACAGGTCCAGCAGTGGCAATGGCCTTGCAGAGGGTCCTGGGGGCACTAGCCGAAGCAGCCTCTAGCAGCAGTAGTGGCCTCCCCATCCCCCCCGCCCCCCACGGGGGGGCATCCCGGGGCAGGGATGCACCATGGATTAGAGCCACTCATCCTTAAGTCCATAACCCAGGACATCTGGGTGCACATGCGCAAGTACACTAGATGATAACCAAGGAACTCCTGAGTGCATATGCCTGTTTACATCAAATGCTCGGTAAGATTCTGAACATCTGAGGGGCTCTGACCATTTTTCCTATATTTTCCCAACAATTATGGACAGATGAATTTGATTCAATCAGGGATTGAGACCACAATGGTTGGGTTTCAGTTTTTGTAAATGCTGGTCTGCTTTGTGGTTTGCTCTTTCTTCCAGAGCATAATTTTTCAGGAATTTACTGGTAGGCTGGGATGTTTATCAGTCCCCCACTTCTTGACAGTCTTGAGTATCAGGTTTTGTATGCCTAGTCCCATTGAGCTACCAAGAGCTCCAAACTGCTGCTTTCTGCTTGGCCTATTAGCTCTGAGTTTACTTTGAAATCATAAAATACTGCATAGAGTAAAGCTTTGGAGATGTAGGGCCCAGTTTTTCCTCATTAGGAGTTGTCCTCATTAGGAAGTTAGTCTGATTGATACAGGCTTTTCATTCATAGCTGGAAGTGGAAATTTCTTGATTTATATTTTCTAAGAGTCTCTCCACCCCTACTCCTCTTTTTAATTTCTTTCTTATTAAATTGACTCTTTTGAAGTGTGTAGGCCAGTTTTATGTAGAGTATTCCACAATGTGAACTTGCACGATTATTTCCTTATTGTTGGTAATGCTAAGGTTGATCACTTAAGGTGGTGATGCCAGTTCTCCTCAGTGTAAAGGTGTGTTTTTCCTATGAAAGTGATACTTTCAGACCTGTGAATATCCTGCGGGCCAACAACAACTCATCAGTAATTTGGCATCCATTGATAATCCTTTTTGTATTAATGATTTCTTTAGGGGCTGTGGAAGGTGATTTTCTAATTTTACTGTTCTACATTTATTAGATAGTGCTCTCCCCTTCACCCCCTTCCTTGAGTATTACTATGAACTTTTCCTTTTTTAAAAAAAAAAATATTGTCCGTTATCTTTACTCTTTTGATGCCCAAATTTCCTTATTTGTCTAGTATATTAGATAGTGCTCTCCCCTTCACCCCCTTCCTTGAGTATTACTATGAACTTTTCCTTTTTTTAAAAAAAAAATATTGTCCGTTATCTTTACTCTTTTGATGCCCAAATTTCCTTATTTGTCTAGTACAGTTTCTTTCAGATAGGCTCCTATTCCTTTTGTCATGGCCCCATGAGTCTTTTAATACTTTATTGGGTTTTTGGCATAAACTGATATCCAAGGTTCACCTTTGATTTCCCTGTCTCAGACTGAGCATTAGCCATTTCTTTAAGGAGCTCTGGTTGTTTTTAGTAAAAAATTTCAATTATAAAATATCATCTTTATTTATTGAGCCTGATTTGTATATAGAACTCTGCCTTAGCCTCTTTTATTGGAGTGCATGAAATGAAAAGCACACTTTTCGTTTCCAAGTATCCCTTAGAAATCTTACCCAGTTGTATTATATCTAATATCAGTCACAAATATGTGAATTAGGGTTTTGGGATATGTTCTATTAGTGTAATTATTCTTTAACACATGCATATGTTGAGCTTTGCTCCTGTTGAAGACTGTTAAATTAACTTTGGTTTAAGAGAGATAGTTATTGCGTCTGTGGATTCTCTTGATGAGTTCATTGGTGATGCAACTGCTATCTCAAGAGAAAATAAGTTGGAATTCAGTCACTTAGTGACCTCTGTGATCATAGGCAACTCATTTAGCCTCTTTAATCCTCATTTTGATCATCTGTATGGTGGGTATCATAGTGCCATGCCATGTAACTGTGAATGAATGGTAGATAACAGTGTTTGGCCTAAAGTGCGCATTCATGTCTTAGTTGAAACCTTTTATGTTTGATTCACTGTAGTCATGGGCCCTGACTTCAAGTAGCATTTGTTATCTCTGCATTGACTCTAATATAACATAGAACGTGGTAAGTCATAAGGAAAAAATTTTGTTTTGGGGAGTTTAGAGGAGGATGAAAACATAATTGAAATATTATATAAAACATAACCATTTAAAATATAGGCTATGAAAGAGACCTTTGCATTATTGTGGAGTGGGAGGAATAGAACTAGCCCTCATTTGTGGCTTATCTTTTTGAGTGGTCTTTAAAAATTTGAAAGTTTGTAATTATCTGTATACATTTCCTTTAGGTATCATCTACCAGCATGTGTAATTGGCCACCATGCTGTGAGTCCTTACTCCATAGTTTTGCCGTTATCTGCTGATTGTTTGGCATTGAAACCAGTGTCAGATATGCTGAGAATAGCTTGGAACCTGTCATGGTATCATGGGAGTGATAATCTATTGAAGCAAATGAACTCCGAAACTAAAATTCAAGAGTAAGCTGTTATGTATAGTTGAAAAAGCATTCACAGTTAACTAATTGTGATTAATTAGTTAGTTAATTTTTCTTTAGGTCAAGTAGCTTTTTCACTTGATATTATCATCTGATTCTGCTTTTTAATTGAAGGTTATTATTTTTACTTTGTTCTAAAGATTACATGTATTATTTTAAAAATCTGTCACACAAGGAAATTTTAAAAGCATTGTACTTTATGCTGTTTTAGAGATTAAAGTTTGGTTAGTTAATAGATGTAAATCACTAGGGAAAGTACTCTGGATTAGAGTAAAAGCTCAGTAAGTAATATGTATGAATGTTATTAATGTGATGATGGTTACTTAAGAATATTCTAATATTCTAATCTGTCAGTCTTCCTTATATATATATATATTATGAAAGTTATTTTACATTTCTGTAAGGAGGAAAAAGCCAATGTAAACACTTGGGATGCTAGTGTAAAACCCTAATATTGACAGATAAACCAATTAGTTTTCAGTTGTAAGATAAAACAGAATTTTTGGGAGAGTTTATAATAGAAATAAATGTGAGCTTTTATTTTAATAGCTTTATGTTGCTCTTTCTTTTTTATCTTTTTGTCTAGATTTTCAGATGCCTTGAAGTTATCTACAGAGGACATCCTTACTCTGAAGACAACACACACAGCTAGTGGGCTTCAGGACTGCCTCCATTCCATCGTTCAGGCTGCAGGCCACAGGGAAGTTAGGGCTGCTGTCACTAGGATGAGTTTTTATCTTCTGAATGACAGATTGTCTTTAAAGGGTGGTACTGGCCCATGTGGGGTTACCTTGAAGTCTTTGGCTTGGCACACTGCACTAAACAGGTCAGTGTAAACTATAAAGGCTTCTGGGTTCAAAGACCTGGATTAAATTGTGTTTGTGTTCATACCTAAACCTTTGAAGAGCATGTATTCTCTCTGTCATGAGGGAAATGTTTTTTTAAAAAGAAAAACTCCAGGATTTTTATCTGTAATAAATAATAATAGCAGCAAAAGTGAAAAATGTTTACTTGGTGACCGCATTTTTGAAGGAATTACTAATACACTTAACAGTTTTATGTATTATCCTCTTAGAAAATTTTATTTTATTATCTAACAAAAATAAATAATTAGAATAAGACCTGGATTAACAAACCAAATGTTTATTTTTGTCCATATTATGAATGACTTGAGAAATCAGTGGGTTGATTAATAGGTTTGGTATACCTGCTACAGGCTGTTTTGTTTTGCTTTGCTTTTGTTTTGTTCTTAAGTAAATTATCTTATTTTTCTTTTTACTCTGAATTTCACTAACTTGATTGCCCTGTGCAGGTTCTATAATAGTTATTGGAAAGGCTCTAGCTTGTAAGTTTAACACATTTAAATGGTAGCAGATGGTTGCATTTGTAACAAGACTGATAGGCAACTGCTATAAAAAGTTTTTCATTTTAGTCTTCATGTGAGTTTAGTATAAAATGTATAATTTTTTTGTTAAACATAAGGTGTGCAGTTTTCAATATGCCAGGTTAAATGAGTTTCCAAAATGTAACTCCTTTATTTAATTTAGCTTTAACAATTGAGACATCTAATTAGGGCCCCCCTAGTGCTGGGGCCCCTAGTACTGCCTTGTGAAAGAGGTGATAGCTGAATTTTCGGGACTTTTGCAAGTTGATTATTAAACAGCTATTCTTAAAAATCATATAAAGTTACAATTAAATATATAAAAAATAAATGATTCTGCTGAAGGTAATGATTATGCAGAAGTCATCATTTCCTAATCATTTTATAACATTTTAACTGTTATCTATGGTCTTGAGGTTATTTATATATACTGTCATTGTTTTATGGAAATACTATATAATGTTGTGTTACTGTGCATTACTTCACAACTCTTTGTTACATTGGTGGCTTGAAATTGGCCACAGTGGGCATATTTACACCATGGAAACTGGCAAACACAACCAATCAGCACCCTACTCCCCAGTCAGTTGTTAAATATTTATCAGCACACCTCTGCACTTTTAAATACTCTTGCCAACTGAAGCATGCATAAAGTCTGCATGTTAAATAAATTTGACTTGTTTCTGTTTGTCAAAAGAAGATTTTAACTAAGAGTTGATACTGTATTTTGAATTAATTGCACTAAGTTTTCTTTTGTGAAGTAAAACCATAGACATAGCATGTGGCACCACATTAAAGCAAAGGCTGTCAAAGTGTGGATCAATGGAAGCCTCAAGTTGTTCAAACTGCCTAGTAGCAGTTACTGTGTGTAAGCATCACATTTTTATGGGGGGGGGTTCCCCCAAGACTAACATAAATGGAGAGCACAGAGCGTGTATATGTTGTATACATATTTTTTGTCTTTTATTTGGTTTATAGGTTCATGTTTGATCACTGCAGCAGACACTGCTGCCTAATTCATAAATGCTCAGGTATTTCAGAATTCACCTTTTCTCCATGAAAAATTAAGTATTATATTTTTACTTCCAGAAATACATGTATAGATAGAACTTTGGGGAAACTTTTGTTTAGTTTTGCTTTCACTTAGTTGAAGGAACACCACCATTTTGACCAATTATCTAAGATGAGACAACACTTTAAAGGAAATGTTTGGAGACAGAAAATTTCCTGTAAGTTATAACTGTATAAAGTGTTGAAGTTATTTTTTACAAGGTTAGATTAAAGTTTTTTATATGCATGTATTTCAAGCTATTCTAGACAGATCAAAATATGGAGATGCATGAGCATACTTGTATAAATGATTTTTATTGTATTTTAAAAACAGCATTATATTTTAGACATTTTCCATGTCAGTAAATATGCCTTAAGGCTATGCTTTAAGGCTGTATTTTAAAAATAGATCTCTTATCCAAATGAATGTCCCCCCAGAGAGTCCTTTTTGAAGTAAGTATATATGTTAGAATAATTCTTGCTTTGCTCAGATATTTTTGAAATTGTCCTCTCAGGTCACTTAAACAACAGATGTAAAGAAGTCTTGTATTTTGAAGTCATGTTTAATTTCTTATCAAAAAACGATATTATCAAACTTTACTATCTAGAGAAGGGTTAAAATGATCTTTTACATATATATGAAAGCAAATGCCAACTTAAAGGATAACCATTCACCACTGTTGAAAAGAGTGTATTTCAGTTTGACAGCAAAAAATGGTTGCTAAAGTGTTTTTACATGTGGTATTATGGCTTCTAAACATAGCTTTCTAAGCTCGTTATTTTGAACAGTCTAATTTATGTGTATAAGTTTTTGTATGTGTATGCTAACACATAAGCTTATTCTATTATCATCTCATCTCATTTTGGAAACTTATTTTAGGAAAATAGATGATAGTCATGGTTCAGTAGAATTACACGTTGTTAAGAGTCATCTGAAGTCTTCCTTCAGCCAGTTCTTGTTGATTTTGCATGCTTAATGTTTCTTTGTTTCTCTGCCCCTTTCCTGTTAAAAATCCTATTGCAACCGTCTTAGCTGAGGCTTTCACCATTTTTTACCTGGACCATAGAGTGACTAGATAATTGTTTTCTTTTGCTTCTAGCCTTATGTCACTCATTGCTTCCTGAATGATTCTTCTAAAATACACATTATTTGTGGATTCTCCTCCATGGTGTGTAAGATAGAGTTCAGACTCCTTAGCATGGCATAGAAGGTCCTTTTTGATCTGGCCTTTGCCTACCTTCTCAGCTGCATTTCCCAGCTCTCTCTAACATATACTGTGGTTTTATGAAGTACGTATATTGTATTTTTATGAAACTGCTTGATGTTCTAGGGCATGCACTTCTGTTTTACATCTCCTGGGTTTCACAGAATGAACTCCCCATCTGCCTTGTGAATATCTAGTCATCTAAGGTCATATTCCTCTGTAATGTGTGTGGAATTGTAATTACCACAGTAATTGTCACATGGCTCTCCTGCATTACTTCTACTGCACTTCTGTTTTACATCTCCTGGGTTTCACAGAATGAACTCCCCATCTGCCTTGTGAATACCTAGTCATCTAAGGTCATCTTCCTCTGTAATGTGTGTGGAATTGTAATTACCACAGTAATTGTCACATGGCTCTCCTGCATTACTTCTATAGTTCAAATTGTTTAAATATCTGTATTCTGTCCTTATTGGCCTGGGTTTATTACACTTTTTAAAATATCCCTCACATATGGCATTAGGCTTAGTATACAGTTGGCTCCTAATAAATGTAGAATTGATGGGTTGGAGAGACATTAGAGCTCATTTACTCCAGCTGTGTACTTGATAAATTCTCTCTGTATATCCCCGTCAAGTGGCCTTGCAACCTCAGCATGAACACCTCCTTTGAAGGATGATCATTCCATTCTTAAACTGTACTTATTAGTAAGTTTTTCCTTCTTTTGAACTGCTACCTGGTAATTTCTACCTATTATTCAGTCTTTTAGATTCATACATAATAAATCCTAACTATATTCACATATGGTAATTCTTCAATTATTTAAACATAACTATAATTTCTTTTCTATTTTTTTTTTTCTTTCACCAGGCTCTAAATACTTTCAGTTTCTGTAGATATTCTTCAAAAGCCATAGTACCCAGACTTCTCATTTGTTCACATTATTTTACCAGTGTACTGTGTTTGTTAGGACTCTCTCTATGATCTGGACATGATGCCTTTTATGGGTGGTGGTGCTGTGGGATGGGGTGGATGGGAAGAAAAGAGTTATTGCCTCTCATTTACTAGGGCTTTTCCATCATTCAACAAACATTTATTGATCAGCTACTAGGTGCCAGGCTCTTATTGGAAAGGTAGCAGTGAGCAAAATTGATAGGATTCCTGCTCTCATGAACTTGAAATTAAGGAAGCTAAAAGTGTAATCAAAATTAGGAATGCTTTTAAGGCGAAGACTTTTATAAGACTGTATTGTAGGGGCACCTAATCTCACCTTAGTGGGGAGGGAGTGGTTCAGGAAATGAAGTTTAAGCCAAGGCATAAAAGGTAAGTAGGATGTTAGAAGCCTGTGGGAATGGAAGCAGAAAAGATGCCAGGCAAAGGGATAAAGCCCTGAGTTAGGAAAGAGTGTCTTTCAGGAACTTAAAGGGCAGTACACTTGTATTTAAAGGATATGGGGACTGTCATAGGTAATATTTTAAGATTACACTGGATGTCATGGAAGACACAATTGTTACGATTGTTAAATTTCATCTAAGAATCATCCTTTCATTCCATCCTTTCTGGATATTTTTCTAATCTCAGTTTTTATAATCAGACACTTGCCATCCTCTGCTGAATGTCATTTTGGGGACGTGGGGATTATAAGTTAAAAAAAATATGTATATGGCAACCATCATATTACTAATGAATATAGCATAATATAGCCCAGGCAGTTGACTGCTTAGATTAGCATCTATGTGCCGACTCTTACTAGCTGTGAAACCATGGAAAAATTACTTAGTCATCTCTGAGTTTTCTCTTCTTTAAAGTGGAGCTACCCACTTCATAGAGTTGTTATGAAGATTGAAAAAATACTTTTAAGTCTTTAGAACAGAGCCTGGCACAAGGTCAGTGCTTAATAAATGCTGGATATTATGATTAGTATTATTGTTGTTCTTACTAACATTTTGATGTATTAGATTTTTTAAAAATATTTTTATAGAAGTTTTCTTGTCTCCTAATCTTTTAGCTCTCTTAAATCAGTTTTTTTCCTTAAGAATTTCAGAAGATCGGTTTGTATACTTTCACTCTGAGCTTACGAAGGTATTTCTTCCTAAGTCTACTTTCAG